ATATTACTGTGTAACACTGTGAGACTGTATCAAAATAAATAAATTTTACACACAATGGAATTATACTCTACCACAGTGCATAATTTCTATTCTTACATCAATAAAGTACCGGTATGTATAGAAACACTGAAACGCACTGAAAGCAATTTTAAGGGAAACCTATTTAGACATTTTACGAAGAAAGAAGAGGAGAGACAAGGAAAAGCCTTTTAAGGAAATGTGGAACCTGATAGAGGAGGACGGGATGGTGAAAAAAAAGAAGAAGTATTGCAAAGGGAAGTAGGAGAAAAGACAATTTCACAACACATTTTCATATGAAGCAGAATAGGCTACAGGCAACAGACACCTGAAAACACAATATTAAATAACAATTAAATTACTCTTTGAATGCATAAAGATGGTTTAGACTTCCAAGCTGACTGCAAAGGCTTCCACAAACTTTAGTATATGTCCCAAACACGATTTATAGATAGGTTTAAAAGACGTGTAAACATCAATTTTATGTCCTGTCTCTATAATATGTTTGGCAACAGAAGAGAATATGATGCCCATATATCCATCTAAACCCTTAAAACATATGAAAAATGAGGTCATATCCCAGTGTATTTACCAATTTGATTGCACATGTGGCCCCACATACATAGGGAGGACTCATCAATCTCTGCAACTAAAGGCTGGATTCACAGCATATTCTTAAATGACTCCAGAAGCAAACAAACTCCGTAAAACCTATTAGTGGTGAGAAAAGGAGACTTAGCTCCTCTGTTGTGAAACAAATTATAGAGACAGTATATAAAATTGATGTTTACACGTCTTTTAAATCTATTATTAAAATGTGTTTGGGGCGCATCCTAAAGTTTGTGGAAGCCCTAGCTGCCAATTAGGAAGTTTAAACCACCCTCATGCATTCAAAGCGTAATTTAATTGTTATTTAATATTGTGTTTTCAGGTGTCTCTTGTCTGTAACCTGTTCTGCTTTAATTGAAAATATTGTAAATCTGTCCTTTCCCCTGCTTCCTTAGCACTCATTCTACACTCCCTTATTCACCCCATGTAGACCGAATTAAGCTGCTCCTTGTCTTGCTTCTTGTTTCTTCATTAAAGAGCTATCCAGGTTTCCTTTAAAATCGCTTTCAGAGAATTACAGCGTTTCTGCACACATTGGAACTGTGTATTTTCGAACATCAGTTCGTGCGAACTGAACTTGAATTTTGGTCTATATCAAGCTTATTTGAAGGCACATTCCTTGACTCGGGAGACTCCTTGCAGTGGCTAGTGGAATGCATCCACATCTGCTCCTCTCTTTTTTTAACAGTGTTTCTCAACCATTTTGAGACTGAAATGTTGTCTATCTGATGTATTATTTGTTCATCATGTGAAACCCATGTCTCTTTGTGCATGTCTTTGTGTTTGTTCATGCTGCCTTCAATCATTAAATCAATAAAACGCATAGAAGTCCGACAAATAATTCTCTATTCCACTGGGAACCTATTGTTTCTTGTAAGCACTAACTTCAAACATAAGGACAGACACTGTTTGACTTGGCGACCCCCATCATCAAATCAACGCTGGACACAAATAGACCACATAGCAATAAGCTATCGTTGGCGTGGGTCGGTAGGAGATTGCCGCTCCTTCTGGAACACGTGTGTAGATACCGATCACGCACTGGTCCGCGCTCGTGTGTGCTTACGACTGAACGGACGTAGGAAACAGCTGGCGGTAAAACCATCACGTCCCCAGCTCGATCAGCAAACTAAGTCCCTATTTGAGGAAGAACTAGCTAAACACATATCTGAGTTCGACAGCTGCGCTCACCCTGAAGAAGCCTGGAAGAATATTCAATCAGCCATAGATACAGCTGTAAAAGCTGTGAATAAGGTAAACCCAAAGGTGAGTAAAAACCATTGGATTTCGACTGCCTCATCCGAACTGATAGATGCTAGAAGACTTATTCCGGCGAGCTCCGAATTCAATGAGGAGCGAAAGCTGCACAAAAGGAAACTTACGAAAAGTCTCCGCAAGGACCGTGAACAGTGGTGGTTGACAAAGGCGAAAGAGATGGAAAAAGCATCGTCGATAGGCAACACCATACAACTATTCAGGCTTATCAGGGAAACAGGTGGTAAAAAGCAAATGATAAGCGAAACAATCTCTGAAAAAAATGGCACCATAATTAGCTCCCAGGATAGACGTCTGGAGCGCTGGAAAGAACACTATGAGGAGCAGTATAATTAGCATACAGCCACACTTAACCTGCCGGACATCCAACACCTCCCTGAATGGGATATAGACACAGGTCCTCCGTCCCTAACTGAGGTTACTAGAGCAGCCACTAATCTGAAGCAAGGCAAAGCAGCGGGACCTGATTTATTGACTCCAGAGGTATTTAAGTATGGTGGAGACAGTTTGCTGTCTGCGTTAACTGAGGTTCTAGGCACCGTCTGGGTATCAGAGGAAGTCCCATCGGGTTGGTGTAAGTCACTGATCATCCCGATATACAAGAAGGGAGACAAGTCTTCTTGTGATAATCACAGAGTCATAAGCTTGACTAATATAGTATCCAAAATCCTAGGCTCAATAATACTGCGTAGACTAAGTGGTGCTCGGGAGACACAAACACGAGAAAACCAGGCAGGATTTAGGCCAGGTAGAAGGTGTATTGACCATATCTTCACCCTTCGACAGATTCTAGAACATAGGCATTCCTACCGGCGTCCGACAATCATTATATTTCTTGACCTAAAGGCGGAATTCGATTCTGTCGACCGGGAGGTCCTCTGGCGATGCTTGGCTGTAAAGGGAATGCCGAGAAAATACATTGCACTGATTAAGGAACTCTACTCGTACTCATGCAGCCAGGTGAGGGCTTATGGCGAGTTGTCATCTGAAGTGGTGACGACTAGTGGCGTCCGTCAAGGATGCCCATTATCCCCATTCCTATTCAACTTCATCATAGATGTACTAATGGACTTAACCCTAACACACTTCAGCGACTCAGGGGTTGACTTGCTACCAGGGAAGAATCTCGTTGACTTAGAATATGCGGACGATATAGTCCTTCTAGGCGAGGACTCTGACAAAATGCAGAGTCTACTGAACACCTTGAGCTACAATCTAAGAATGTTTGGCATGCGATTCGCCCCTATAAGATGATGCTGCAGGATTGGACTTCACCGACCCCTAGATTAGAAATAGGAAGTGAAGTGGTAGAGCACGTTGACCGCTTCAATTACTTGGGAAGTACCGTCAGCCCCAACGGGTTGATCGCCAACGAAATCTCAGCACGAATACAGAGGGCTAGGTTCGCATACGCCAGTTTACGCCGTCTCTGGCGTAGACGCGATATCCGACTATCGACCAAAGGGCGTGTGTACTGCTCATCAGTCCGCTCCGTCCTCCTTTATGGCTGTGAGACCTGGCCATTGAGAGCAGAAGACATGAAAAGACGTAGCTAGCTGTCTTTGATCATAGGTGTCTGCATTCTATCTCCCGCGTGAAGTGGTATAATAAGGTGAGCAATATTGAGGTTAGGCGTCGAGTGCTAGGTAAGGCGGGGAAATCAATCGATGAGACTGTGAAATTACATCGACTGAGATGGTTGGGACATGTGTTACGTATGCCTAGTCATCGCCTTCCTCGACGAGCAATGTTAGCTGATATAGGGCCAGGCTGGAAAAGAGCTAGCGGCGGTCAAACGAAAACATGGCACCAGTCAATGAAATCCACAACAGTTAGTCTAAGTCACGTAGGGAGATGTAGACTTCCTGGTTGGGGTCCTCGAGACGGTAAAAACCAATGGTTGGAAACAATTGGTGACATGGCTCAAAGTGATCTTTCTCAATGGCTTACGCAGATGCATCCACTCCTTGTGACTTATGATTTCCAGTGAAACTGTTTTGTTTTTCGTTATTACTATTCCTTTGTCTCACACCTTTGTTTACTGCCTATATTATGCATTTCTTCTACCTTCTTCTCTTGCTTTGTGTGCTACATGGAGTGTGGCGACTTGAACTGCCGCACATGTATGCAAAGTTCTATGTCGAAAATAGACAGACAGACAGACAGGACTTATCATAATAACTGTTATTCAATCTATTTGATGACTAATAAGAACAACACGGACCTGAGAACAATATCTAAAGAACATTTTAAATGAAATACCTACTTGCTTAGCTCCCAAAGAGGATGAAACACGGGATCTGAAATTCTACTATCAGCTGCCACTGACTGGAAAATAGCATTAAATGTTGAGTTTTATATCAAAACTGGACTGATTCATTATGGTTTTTGAAGAATACTATGTTTTTTCGAAGATTTCAAAGTCGTGATAACTGTCCATATCACTGAATCATTCACATTATCTAGTCGACTGTTGTATTCTGTGTATTTATCGAATACCGATACTCATTTTATTGATAGAATGATGCTGTAGCTTTCTTCATTTACCCCTCTACGTTGTGTGTATCAATCACACACCGTGACTAGTAAACGTGATTTTTTGTCAGTCAGGAACGAGTGTACTAGGCGTATACCTCGTTTACAGTAGTTACCTAACTGATATCAATTTGTCATCAGACACTTGAATCAACCGACCACTGAAAAATAACCCACTACTGATTTCTGGCTGGCTACACAGTGGAGGGCTTAGAGTTCTTATGAGGAGACTTTACGAATAGAGTCCACAAAGTTGGTTGTAAGAATAGATACTTGCTGATGACACTTACTGGCTATGGTACCATTCATCGTGAATTGGTAGAAGTTAGAATTCGTATGACTTAATAGTTAGCCAGGCCACTTCACCACTTGGAACTCTCGATCTTGATTATCACTGAAGTAAACGGTGAGTGCTGCTGAAAAGTCTCAAGCAAAGATAACGTGGCTGTCAATTACTCTATGGTTTACAATAGTTCAGTTGTTATCTTATTTGTAAATGTCAGTGTCTGTTTTTATAGCATGAATTAACCGATTCGCCACTTATTTTTGTTTCATCCTCTTAGATACTGATGAAGATATCATCAATGAAATACTCGGTCATAGAAATTTTCAACAACGTATGGCTATTGCAGAGGCTTATAAACGTTTATATGACAAGGTATGTGAGATGCGTTTTACTAATTTTATTGTGATTATTACCTGTGTTGCTTAGTTTGCTCCAGTTTCCATTTATTTATTGATTCATTTTATTGGGTAATATAAAGTGACATAATATAAAAGATATGTGGCTCGGCTGGATATCCTTTGGTGATACCGCCTTCTTTGTAGTGGATACTTTAATTGTTAAGGTTTCATTATCTTTCAGAATATCATCTTCAGTGCTAACTTCAAAGTAGAGTTATTTTCCCGAATTCTTTGTGAATGAAATAAATGCTACAAGTGATCGTCAACCGTCAACGAGGAAGACTGTCTCTGTTCATTGCATCTGCTCACATTGACACTGATCATTTCACGTGACATTTGACCTCCTAACGTCTGACTTTCTCTTAATCATTTGAAAAATGTGGTCGCTATCAGTATTTCTTTTCCCTTATAAGTAATTTGAGTAGTGTATTTTTGGAGAAGTTTTTCGAAAGTCCTTGAGTTTTTCCACTAACAGTGATGTCCATAGATATATTTATGCAATGATAGGAAAGAAGTCTTGTTAAGCATTTTTGGCCACTAGTTTGTAATCATAGATACTTGGCACATATTATTAGTAAAATAAAACCTAACTGAAGGCAACTAATTGAATATTCAAGTAATGGTTTGCAGGGATTTGTTTAGTTTCAGGATTTCATGATAAAATTACATCAGTTAAAGGACCATTTGAAAACCTGGGAGTACTGGACAGATATTTCGTCATAGTTCGGGACTCTCCATCAGCACGCACCCACCGCCACAGGTGGAATGCATGGTCTCTTTTGTTGCCTAGATCCTAGACCACTAAATCACTGATATCCGATTAAATAGTCCATGAATTCCAGCTGCTGCCGATTCCCTGCAAAGCAACACCTGAATATCAATCTGATTCTCACTAGCGATGACTGACCCTATTCAGGTAGATAGTTACCTGGGTTCTTGTAAGAAGTCGAGACTAGTGGCGTACAACAGGTCAGATATGCGGAAAAATACTCGCCGATGACATTTGCTAGTGGTCGCTCCATATCTTGAATTGTCATATGTGGGAATTCATGGACCATTTAATCGGATCACAGTGGCTTAATGCTCTACGAGCGAGCTCATCTTGTGACCAAGAAGTTCTTGGTTCTAGTCGTGGCGGTGGGTGCGTACTGCGAAGAGTCCCAAACTAGCATGACGAAACTTGTAGGTTTTCCAATGGTCCTCTAACCAATGTCAGTTCATGATGAAATCCTGAAATGAACTGGACGTTAACAAAAGATACTTAAACATAAAATCTAAAATATGCAATATTTGGCTGATTGTATTTTCTAGTATATGTGTAAAACTTGGACACTGTGATAGTAAGTAATTCCATATTAGTTTGTTTATTTGATATATCACACAGTGAAATAGTATTATTTTACTGGATGACGTTTCGAACAAAATTTATTGTTCATAATCATATCAATTGATATATGTCCAATTCATATAAATTTCTTTCTGCATATTTACAGGACAATAAGTACTTAGTCATTTGGCTACCAGAATACCATGTTGATAAAATTTACCAGCTGTACATTTGATCTTCAGAGGTAAAAGTTTATGAAAGTCTGCAGAAATCTGTCGGGAATCCCGTTCGTCATACAAACACCAGGTCTGCAATCGATTTTCATTGACCGACATCTCCTTGACTCTTAAAGAATCACTGTCGCTCATCCTCTTAGGTCATTTTTGTTGATGCAAATGGTTGGTGACTAACTGGAAATATCTCACACCAAGTTTCTAGATCATATATGGACACTGACTTAATGTTAGTGCTGAAAATTTAGACTTTACTGCCAATGATTTCAGAATAAACAATAACTCCCTGCCTTGCTTTACTGACCAGGTTCTAGCCAGCTATAACTTCTTCATCCTTAACAGTTGTAGTCAAAATGAGGCTTTCTAGGTAAGAGAAAGGAACAAGTCCACCAGTGAAATGTCAAAGCACAGGAAAAATGTAATATAAGCACTATATACCATTGCTTAGTATTAGTAGTTATTGACTACTCTGTCTAGCAGCAACGCTTAGTAACTAGATCAAGTTAGTCCAAATATCTCATTGATATCTTGCCCAGTTAAAGCTGTGTATGTGATGAATAGGTTCGGCTGCGATAGATAATTCAATTCAGTTCATTTATATTCCCATATCTTCCTTAATCAGTCTAGCAACATAATATTAAACCAAGTTCCATTATGGGTAAAATATATTTTGATAAAGTCTCATGTTTCAAGCACAATTTATTGCTACTCATAATCATATCAAGGTACTTACACAAAGTTATGGGAATCTACAGCACTCAATGCAACTATTAACATGTAAAATTGGCCATTGCATTTGTGTAGTTCGAAGACTTTGAGAGTCATGGAAAGCATTTCCAACAGTCCTCAGACTTTCTGCAGTATGTGCCATATTGAGGTCTGGCGAATAACGAGGCAACAACTAATTGATCGAAAAATTTTCAGCAGGAAAAGAAGATGAACTGAATATATTCCCAGAAGACCGTAGATTGACATCCTACTCCAAAGTATAGAGTCGAACTTCAATGATAAGTGAATGGTCTAGCATCCCAGAGTTATAAAGGGATCGTATGAAAGTAATTCACTGGAGATATCCCATTGAAACCCCATGTTCCAGTCGGAACATAAGGAACAAATAACAATAATAATAAGGTTATTTTTGGTGTAGAATATTACTGTCAGTTGTACCTACGTAGACAACACCCTTTTTCACTTGAATCACATAAAATTCATTATGTCAATGAAAGTAAATCATCAGGAACCGCCAGTTACAATCATTTTGTTTTGACTAACCTCAACACCACCTCTCATATGCATATTTGTAATATGTTGCCGAAAAGATTATTCATTTTTCTAATGTAGACGTCGCCATAAATCAACATCAGTTAGAGACCACTGAGAACCAGGAAGTACTAGACAGATGTCTCTTCCTATCCCAGTGCTCTTCTGTAGTCAGCACCCACGACTTCACTGTTATGGAGATAGAAGCTAGAACTTTTAGGTTATGTGACTGAATTTTTTGACGACTCAGCCATTTGGGGGTCAAAATTCAATGTACTATGAGATTGGCCTTCTCTCAGTCCGTGGTTTAATGATACCATCAGCCTGCTACTCATTACATTACACCTTCAATACATCCATCCAACAATCAGCAACTACCTGGAGATTGATATTTAGATTTTGTATTTTCATTAGAAGTCGGATTATTTTCACTATAGATTGTGCCTTCATTATTTTGTACTTTGTTCCCTTTATATTTTTTTCCTTCAATACAGGATATCACGGAACATTTAGGCTCTGTTTTATTAGGCGGTTATGATAGCCTAGTGAAAACAATGTTTAGAAATCCAATGGAGATTTTAGCCAATGATTTATATAAAGGCATGAAGACATTGGGTTCAAATTATCAAATAATGACCGACATTATCTGTTGTTGTAATAATACTGAAATTTATTTATTAAAGAAAGCATATGATAAAAGTAAGCCGGTTATTGTTTCTTTTTTCTGTTTGCTTATTTTATTATTTCGTGTCACGTGTGGAACATTTGGCTTGAAGCATGAGTCCCATTAGCGGTGTTCTGCATTAGTATACCAGCCTACCTTCCCCATTTATCAGGATTACTACTGACTAGTTGACGTTTAGAAGTACATCGACCGGGGATCGAACTCTGGACTCTATGTGCTCGTTGGTGAGCATTCTACCACTAAACCACCGATCTGAAAGCTGGCTGTTGAGTCTTTAATAATAATATTAACAATACATTTACACTATGAATGAAAATATGCTTTAGTTTGGCGGCGAACTGACTTCAGTTAGAGAACAACTGGAAACCTGGTAGTGTGTGAAATTTTTTTGACTCTCCTTTGGGTGTATCCTTCAGCAGTACACACCGATGGCCATATCCACCCCTTGCAGGTTACGAAGCAGAACCATTGACCAGAATCCAGTTGTTCATCAGTTCTGACTTCCACCAATTTGTGATAAATGGACCGACCATCAACCACTGTTATCGGTGAGACATTCATCCATGGAGCTGATATAGAGAAACAATGAAAACGTATACATCAGTGGGACATCACAAATAGGAATAAATTGTCTGACCTCTGGTGTGATCAAGTGTATGTACCTCTGAGAAGTTCAAAATATGGGGGATGAAGCTGTCCAGCAGTACATCCTGGCTTTCTTTAGTTCTCTAACTGAAGTTATTTTGGGATCAAGCTTAAATTTAGTCAAATTCCTGCAAATTAACACATGAAAATCAATATAAATTTGATTATTGACTGACTGTAGGATGAAGCACCACGAAATTCTAGAGAAAAACCATAACCAGTGGAGATCATCAAGTCATTTGTGAAGCTGTTATTCTACAGTGATGTTAGCTAACAGTCATACTCTGTATTAGTCGAATTTACAGAATCTGGAATCAATAAACCGCTGAATAATCAGCTATCTTGCCTTGCAACCTGAAGGTCTTAATTTTGATCCCCGAGAGCGTACTCCTGAAGAGTCACAAACCAGAATAAAACGCATGGTCATCAAGTATTCCCCGGCTTTCAATGAATCTATAACTGGTATCATTTCGCCATCTAGTGCAGCGTTTGGTCCTCGATCAAAAAGATATGCAGAATGAACAAGCAGGACGACACAGTCAACCAAGAAATAGAATTTTCTTCTCAACTACCACAACGTAGGTATCAATTAAACTCGAGATTGTAATCCACACCAAAAAGCAAATTTAGTCAGCGGATTTTGTTCATTGGTGTCATCAGGAAAATCACAAGGTTCACATTTAGAAAATAACTTCCATAAAGAAGCAATTCATACACGAATCAAAACAATAAATTACAATATAGAGTTACTCCATTGTATTCTGAAGGAAATGAATTAGTTTCTACTCAAGACGGTATATATTAATGAATAACCACTTACGTCAGCCACAAGTGTTCCTTAGTCAAAAGAAAAACATGATGATCTGAAAACAACAATAGTTTAAACCACCGGAAGTTTAGCCCGTCGCAAAGATGAACTTGTATTGTCTATTCTATTTCATTTAAAACATTCTTGTAACTTATCCCAACTGAATGTGCACTCAAAAGTCTTAAAATGAACAGTGAAATAAAATCCCCTATTATAAGAGAAGGAAGGAAGATACGAAATCTAAGTATGCTGGACAGCTTAGTTAACTGACATCATAGAGCTTAGAAAGAAAATTTATGGCGTCAAACATTTAAACGGAATTTCATTAACTTCTGTAGATACAAAGAATCCTGTTGGTATTGGAAAAATTCCTAATTCACAACAAGGTGAAGTGCAGGATGAAAACTGCTATCCTAATCAATATTCAAATAACAGTGGAAATAACTACAACTCAGAGAATATTGGTTTGGGTGAAATTGATATCCTTGAGTTAAAACGTGCGTTGACAAACCTGTCTGATGCATCACCTTATGCATCTCACAGCATGTTCATTTGCGACTTTCGTTGATTGACTCTGTTCGACTGTTCAAACTGCTCATCCTTAATCCTACTGCTATTGATTTCAACTATGTGTCAGGTTACCATCAAAATGGTAGTGAAATTTCAATCCTTACTGACACTTTCTTTGTAAATGAGTATTTTTAGATTTTTAAATTCAACTTCAATTTTCACTGAATGATCAAATTTACGTGACACTGTAGTATGTCACTTGAGTTTACGTAATTAACCTAATGAGGATAATATTACCGCTATACAGCAAATTTTGAATGAAATATATTTCTGATCGAGAAATTACATAAATATCCAAACGTCGGAATGTAAAATTTCAGTGATTAACTCCAATGTGAAGTCAGTGCTATTTACTATACGGACCAGGGACTTTGCGCCGGCCGCGTCACGTAGGGCACTTCAAACAAACTACAGACTTTCATTGACAGATGTCTTTACTCAATACTCAAAATCAGATAGCCAGAAACAATCAGCAACAGGAATCTCTGGCAATGAGCGAACCAACCCAGCAGGAACCAATTGTGCAGCAAATATGAAAGAAGAAATGGATGTGGATTGGCCTTACTCTGAGGAAACCGTCAAGTAACATCACAAACCAGACCATCACTCGAATGGAATGCGAATGGGAAGCGGTGAGTTAGTTGGTCATCAGTGCGAGCGTGACATGGACGAGGTCATGGGAAAAGGAGATGGAGGCATGTGGGCGGCAGACGTGGAGCCATGTGAAAACGTTGGCGAAGAACCGAACGCAATGAAAACGTGAGGCTGTAGTCCTATGTTCCTCTAGGAGCTAAAGGAGACAACAACAACTGCTGTCAGATGCAACACTGGTACTAACTGCAGAATGACTAGAAGAATAACGATATGATCTGATTGTGTCTTTCTGACACACAATAATGAAATACTAACGCGTGTTAACCACCGGTTTTATTGACTCGCAAACCATATCTTGTCACGGATGAACTGGAGACTCATGAGTATTTTACTCTCTACCTTAAAGGTTTATCATATCTCAACAAACATAGACTTAATTAAGTCACCGGGCATACACAATACTGTGATATGAAATAACGTTTTCTCTGCTTCTACAAACTAGTCAGATGTTTGACTAATCGTAGTTTGAGATGCTTCTATATTTCAACAGTGATCTCTGTATTACTCAAATAAGTAACGTCTAGCATATTCAGTAACTATATATTACCACTAGCATAGATATTTCTATTATACTCGCCAAGAACTGTAAAAAGCTCCTGAAGAACTCGGAAATCTGTGAGCAGTCGTCACATTACATCGACAAATATAAGAAACTAGAGGTTAAGAGATAAACTGTTATATTTTATTATTAATCCCTTGGGTCCCAAGTGGAACATACGACTTCAACAAAACATCTCCACTTTCTTCTCTTTTCCACTCTCCTCATTCAACTGGCTGGCTACATGATTGCCCAGAATGTTTCATCTCCATCTCGCCACACAATCTCCTTCATGTCATCCTCATACCGACGACAAACTCGTCACTTCCCGTTGGTATTCCACTCGAGTGTTATTCGACGGCCTTCTCAACATTTGCCCGATAAATCCACCTCCATTTTCTCCTACATACTTGTTAAGAAATCGCCTCTTGGTTAGTTTGTTGCCAGCCAGGGTTTCTTGTTACTTATTCCTTCTAGATGACAGGCTGGCCATTTGATCATCAGTATGGAGAGAAGGGGGGAGCTGTCTGCGGCAACTTGTTTAAAATGTTTCTCCTGATGCACTGGCCATATTTCTGACTCGTTTAGAAGGAGTAGCTGACTGACTGAATTCACATTTGTGTTGGACAGAATCCGAAACTTGTTCTTTATGGTGAGTGCAAAAATAAACTGTAACATACAATAATACACAGGAACACTTAGTAGGTGTATTAACCATCAAAAATCACGCCAGGATTCCAAAACCAAAATAGCCCGACTGCCTAGCATCGGGACTAATAATATTCTAGAGGCCACTGATTCGAATCCTGCCATGATGCAGAATTTTTTTCACCATTAATCATCACCTGTTAAATCAATAATTGGTGGTTGTGTCTAAAGCCAGTTTATGCCAAATATTCTCCTCATCATTTAATAGAAATTTGAGAAATCTAAAAGGCTGATAAATATGGAACCTCTTTCAACGTTTCACAATCCAAAAAAGAGTATATGTGATGAGATCAATAAAACATGGTTATTTGTCTGACAGTATTTTTTTTAAATATAGAGAACACCATTTAAATTCCATAAAGTACTGAAAGTTATTTCCGAAGTATAATGATTAATGTTCAGTATTGTTTAAGTATTAAAAGTGAAAATCAATAAATCTTCATAATTCAGCTAACTGACTTCTTCCTTATCATTTTCTTTTCTTACAGTACTAATGGCAGAAGACCCAAAATGTAAGTGGAATATCCAGGCATACTTCGTAACTGTTTTGTTTTTTCACTTTTTCTCACATTCCTTAGATTTCAAGTAGAACAAGAACTTTGTGGTTTCAGTGGTTGTGGTATTGTTTTTGTTCTTACAAAGTGAGGCCGCTAGCCTCCCTCTCAATCTCCCCCAGTTCATGGGCTTACCGACGGCTAGCAAATTAGATGCGAATCAAGAATGGCTTCCATAGGACGGACGGCATTTTACAACTGTATCCCTGACGGATTTTATCACTACTCAAACAAAGCAATTAGTTAATATTTTAAGATGTATAAATTATCTGTTGAATGAGCTTCAAACCAGGATCAGGTTACTAATATCTGACAAAGAATGAGAACCATACTGATATCATCCTACAGTAACAATATAGTTACTATTATTAGGCATTAATTATCGATCTTCTTCAAATAACTTCCTATTGGATACTTGACACGACAAAATTTCATGACGATTAGATAGCATATATGCACTTGAAAACTGAAATAACGCTTATACATATGTACACACCGACTGTTTTAGGGAATATCACATCTTGAATTTTATATCCGAATTCTCCATCAACGAATTTGAATATAGCAATCAAAGCACATGCAGCAAGATAGAAAGGGTGCATTCTGTTTCTTCAGTGGATCTCTTTCAACTGCTTACATTCCAAATGATGAAAGTAAATTGTTCTGTGGTTGTTTTAACATACTTTAACTGGTTGGAGATACCAATGTGGAACAGTGATTAAGAATGATTCATGCTGGCAGCCTGCTTAAAACTTGGGCTACCAAAATCTTCCATCTCTCTCTCTCTCTGTTGCATATATTTTCTCTCGTTCGGTTTGTTTTAATCGATTAAGACATGACCTTGAAAGTTTACAAGCATATGATTTGCAAGTTCCCAGTAAACCTGAGCAGAGGCCTGATTTTTGGTGGTAAAGGGTTCCAATACATGAGATAAGTGTTCTTCCATTATGTCCTAGGATATCAAAATGTACTTCTGGACATCTTATAATCGGCTTTCAACTAGATAGATATCGTGGATTTCTCTAAGGAGATAGAGCAGATATACCATAATGGAAGGGTTTGTCCTTCAGCTCAGAGATTAGTGTGTCACAGGATATACTGTGAGTGAATATTTTACTGGGAGATATTGTACAGAGGGAAAATATCATGTAATAAACTGCGCTGGAAATTATGTACATTATATAAAGACTGCCAAGAATAAAGATATTATTAAATAGATCATGGCATGGCTATAGATGCGTCAGAATTTTAAAATATGAGTAAAATATGTTACTGCTGTACTGATACACATAATGTGATAGAAGTCTCTCAAATAAAACACAAAAATTGCCAAGCAAGAGTAGCCATAAGGCACTAAGGTACATAAATTGTAAGAGTATGTAAGTTATTAGGAAAGTGCTACAGAGCAAATAAAATGTAAAACATTCCATTGTGAGTTAAGCGTGCTTAATTAGATATCACACGTACGAATTATAAAGTTAAAGAAAGGTAATCATGTAACTAAATAGGAATGTGAAGAAATTGACATTTACAATCAATAATAGAAAAGTTAAAGATCCAAATTAGTTTGTCTATTAGATATATGAAACAGTGAAACAGTATTATTTACTGGCTGACGTTTCGAATAAAATTTTTTATTGTTCATAATCATATCACTTATAACCACACGACTTGTTTCAGTAAAAATAGGACTGGCAGAATGTTTAAGTGACAGAGCACAAAAACTAGGAAGTTCCGAGGAGAATCTAATATAGGAAGTGAGGCATATAAGAGTAGAAGCTTTGAAACTTAATAATTACCCTGATAAATTATTCAGGAAGTATGTGGGGAAATTTAAAAATAGAATAAATAATGACAGTAGTGATAATAATAATATTAATCACGACATGTATGTCGAGCATACACGGAACGACGACAACATCAACAATAGGGAATTTAAATCATCATCAGTAGTAATTTCATACACAGATGGAACCTTGGAAACCTCACGTAGAATTCTTAACAAGGCAGGAGTAAAAATGGCATTCAAAATGTCCGCAAACTCAATTAGAAACAAGCTTTGTCGGTTAAAGGATCCTGTAGAGCCTTTCAAACAAAACAATTTAGTTTATCTAATACCTTGCCTGCAATGACTGTCAGGTCAAATACATAGGTCAAACTAGTAGAACAGGGGCAGTCAGACTAGCTGAACATAAAAACCTAGCAAAATCTAGATTGGTTGATCTAAATAAGGTAAGAAATCTAGAGAACAGTTCAGCTACAGCACTCTGGGCATGCAGTTACACACAACCATACAATAGGATGGGATAGGATGAGAGTTTTAAAATCTAATGTCACAGGGTATAGGGAGAAATTGATAACAGAAGCTTTGTTTATCAAATCAACTGCAAACACGTGTAATATGAATGATTCAGCACCTGTCCATCCAGATATCTGAACAATTCTACCACTCCTACGACAAATAGGAGAAGACAAGGAAAACTATCAAAAACTCAAGTTTTGAGGTTGTGTAATTACAATTGATATGATTATGAACAATATTGTTTTCGAAACTTTGTCATCCGGCAAATAATAGTACTGTTTCACTGTGTCTGATATATCTAATAAACAAACTAATATGGAATTACTTATTACCACAATGCCCAAGTTTTACACATACATTGAAGTTAAAGACCAATGGTAAAGTTATTGAAGCAGCAGAGACTTACTACTCCATGTTTTTTGAATATGTAAATCAGATTTTGACTATCTCACAACAGTGACCTGTGTGAGCATTAGGAAGCTTAATTAGGGAACTTGTATTCAATCCTATTCAAATGATTCATAACGTCTACCTGACGTCCAGTTTCAATCAGATGTCAAAGATTAACTTCCCTTACATCGTAAACATCAGAAACAGGCCGTATTTTCCTCTTCTGATACACCTTTCTACAATGTCAGCTGAAAGTAAACTGATATACACACTTGGAACTAATAAACAATGGATGTCACGCTATAGGCACAGTTGCTAAATTGTTCAATACATTAGAAAATTTGAAGTCATATAATGAGATAAATGGTTTAGTGGATGAGTTGTAATCAGCTGCAGAAAACTAAAGAAGATTTGTAAGATACGGAACAATAAAGAATTGGTTGAAAACAAATCATGATAATAAAAGAAGTTGAAGAATTGTCTTTTATATATATAGAGCTTTCGTTTCTTTATCGAGATGCCTACAATTTCAGCAATGTAAAGGAGAAGCGTCATTTCAAATACAGGCGGAGAGGAACTGACGAGGGTATCAAAGCGAGGGTCGGGAAAGCACGGCAAGCTTTTATCTGCCTCAAGTCTGTGTGGAGATCAAAAGCACTCAACTGCAATGTGAAGTCAGTGCTACTTAGTATACGGATGAGAGGATTGGCGCGTCATGAAGGCCACTTCAAACAAATTACAGACCCTCTTCAACATCTGTCTTCACTCAACATAACTCAAGATCAGATGGCCGGCTAGGAAAGATCAGCAACTGCGACCTCTGGGAGCGTACCAACAAATAACTGACGGTGCAGCGAATATGTAGGAGGAAATGGAGGTGTATCAGCGATAGTCTGGAAAAGCAAACCATCATCAATTGACATCACACGCCAGGCCATCTCTGTAGTGGAACCAAAATGGGAAGCGGCGAGTTAGTCGGTTGTCAGTGCGAGGGTGACATGGAGAAGGTCATGTGATTTGACACGCAGCCAGGTGAAAACGTCGGTAGAGAAGTGAACGCAATGGAGACGTGCGGCTGAATCCCTATATTCCTCTGAAAAGGAAGGAAACAATAATAATAAAGGAGGAGAAATACTGTTTTATTTTACTGGTCATTCTTCACCTCGTGGATCCCTTTAGAGGAGGAATTTGTTGACATGAAGTAGCTAATGTTGAAAGTTTGTCAGATTGTTCTACTCCCCAAGAAGTCTCTGATATCTTTCTGCAACCAGACGGGATAGTCTTCTTGAAACTTTTAGACCAATATACTCCACTTACTTTTTTTCACATGAACATTTCATTATATGCTGCGAATAAAGCTTAAAATACTCAATGAGCTCAATTTACCTTTAGTTTTATTGTACAACAGTAGAGATAAAACCTTCTCTAATATCAATCAATATTACTACTTAAATTTTAGGCTGTCGTCAGCGTTCATTAGAAACCGATGTTATGAGAGAATCAAAAGGCGCTTATAAATTATTTATGCAACAATTGTTAAAAGGTGAACGATGTGAAGACAGTAAAATTCAAGTTATTCCAACTGAAAATACAACTGAAGAAGCTTTACACGGCGTCAATCAACAATTAGTTGCAGATGACGTGAATGAATTATACGAAGCAAGTGAAGGGTATGTGTAATGCGTGTATTAAAATAAAATATCATAAACCTATTTGATCGTGGTGTTATAATGTTTATGAGTCAGGGCAAAGTTAAACTTTAAGCATCACTAACTACCAATCAGAGAACGATATTCAACTGACCAATCACATGAAAGAAGGATTTTTGATAAAGGAATTCGTACATTTATGGTGAAAAAGCATAAAAACTGCATAAAACTGTTATATATGATAGAAACATCTCCCAGTTTAGCTTAGGACTGTCAATAGAAAATTCACTCCACCTTCTGTACATATATTCATCCAATTGACTATAAATGAGATCCTTTTGAGATCCATTTATAGCCCTAATCCTATTTTTCAATCTTCTTCAAAATCCTTCTATAGAACTTGTGTGTCCTCGTAGTGGATTCCACAAAATCACTGGAATGGTTCACTCTGTGATGAATATATCCAAGAGATAACAGCGGTTTATAATCTTTCCATTCATCAGTATGTACTATTGCTCCTTGTTTCACAAGTCTAGTGTCTGTCTGCTATTCTCTCCACGAATCCTTCCCGTAGGGAGGTGTCATATAAACCAATCACTCAAAAATTGTTGGCTTGCTCACGACCATGGTTGCGTTTTGTCTTCGGTAACACAGTTTCATCCACGTGTACAACGATACCTTCTCCGCCTAACAACGAAGTAATTCTCTCCATTTCCCATGATGCGATGTCTCTGCAGTGCTGGTACCACTGAACTGCTGGTACGAAGCTACTTTTGGTTTCAACAGCTGCGCCTCTCACAAGCTGTTTTAAAACCCAGTAGTTACAAATATACAAAATCTTAGTTAGGGAGAGATGCGACCTAGCAAAACATGTTCCTAATACTAACTCGTCTCAAACAAATGGCACAACGATATACATATCCATCAGTCGACCTGCTGAAGCCTTTTAAAGTCATCACACCACCACACGAACAAATCCTCTACTTCCTAAGCAACCCCAAATCCAGGCAATACTGCGAAACCTTATCCTCCTCAAACTGCAAGCGGAAATTCATTACATCACGCATTTGAAACGAATCAAGCGTCATACAACCTTGAACTCACGTGCATGAACCTCATTAGAACATTCGAGGTCGTTCGCTGATTGGTAGTCAGTGGTGTTTAAAGTTTAACTTGGCCTTAGTCAGTTAGAGACTCAGTGATAGAATGCGAATCAACCACTTTTGAAAGGTCGAGGTTTGATTCTGCGATTAGGCATTCAGAAACCTTCCCCATTTGACAGCTATCAGCAAGTCAAGTATGGGGCTATCAACTAACAACACTACTGCTAAATTCTGAAATCTTGAAGCTTTTATGTCCAAAGCAAAGCGCAAGGAGTGAAGAAAAATGAAAACTAGCTTGTGAATTTTCTTGATATACACTTCAAATCCCGGAGCTTGACAGATTTTAGGACTAAATTGACCTATGGTATGGAATAGATATTATCAGGTAAATGCAGATAGCGGCGAATTCGTGACAACCGTCTGCCGTCATTATTCAGCATTTGTATGATAAATCAATATGAGGATAAAAATTCACAAGAGAAATTATTCTGATGAAAATATGTGGATCTCCTTGATTCTTTAAGCGACAGTCTTGGGAACGAACAGGATAAGACGGAATTCCCCCGAAGCACTGATAAAGCACCCAGCGACTGTGACGGATATGCTGACGCCATTATTATAAAAAAAATTGGAAGGTAGGAAGCAAAGGTGTCTACCAAATGGAAGATAGGCTATCTTCTCAAGCTTCCAAAGAAAATCGACTTAGGCCTCACTTTGCAAGAACTGGTGTGGAATAATGCTCTTGTCTACGTCAAGTAAAATACTAATTCTCATCATGCTGGAGAGAATAAAAGATGCAGCGGAGACAGTGCTCAACCCGGAACTAGCTGGATTCAGGAAAGGTAAATCATGCGGTGATCGAATTGCAACTCTGCGCATAGTCATCGAACGAAGCATAGAATAACAGTCAAACCTCTACCTCAGCAATTTCATAGACTTCGAATAGTCTTTCGACAGACAGCGTAGGCTGAGAAGCAATTCGGAAACTGCTTCAACACAGCCGTGCACATTGCCCAAATCCTTATCAGGCCCATTCAGCAGCTGGCTATATGACAATGCCGCGAGTCAGCTGATGCACAACAAGGAACTCAGAGATCCATTTGTAGTAAGACAAGGCTGCCTTTTATCATCAATGATATTATTAAGTGTGGTCGACTGGGTTATACGTCAGACTGTGGCGATATGTCTACTGTCACACAAACTCAAAGACTTCCAGGCGAAATCCAACACACTGGCCGGTAGAAGAGACTAGTAGCGAAGACAGGACTGCAGCTGAACATAGAGAAGACTAAGGCGATGAGGATAAACAATGAAACCCAATAACAACTATCAGCACAAACCAATATAAGAGAGATTTCACAAAGGTTACTTGCTTCACTTAGCTGACCAGAAAGCATCCTTTCAACCACAAGCAGTCGGAATGGATTGAGATGGTAAAGCCGACCAGAATCAAAAAGGCTAGATACGCCTTAATCAACCTGAAACTAGTTTACGAATCTTCTGCTAAGAACAAAGAACAAGATTCGAATTTCCAACGCAGATGTAAATTCATTCAGTCATTTCTTGACAGGTTAGGAAGTTTCACTGCGTGTCACCAAAAGCAATTCCAACAGGCTACTTAAGACTTGTATCAACGGCTGTCCCGTTTGCTGGCTCCATACGGAACACCGAATGGCCAAAATGGTCAGAAAGAATTAGCAACAAGGAACTCTGGCTGGTGACAAACCAAGTGATAGGCGATTGTTCAACAAATATATGGGAAAAAATGGAGAGGGATTGGACACTTGGTGAGGAGGCCGTCAAATGACATCGCATTCAGTACAGTCCATTGCTCAAGTGGAATCTCAATAGGAATTGATGAGGTAGTCATCAGTGCGATGGTGATATCGAGGAAATGAAAGATCATGGGCGATCGTGAACCCGGCTGTAGAGGATAGCAGATAATAGAACAAAGTGGAGATGTGCTGTTGAAGCCCTATTTTCCACTCTGAATTTAATGGAATAATAATAATGATAAAGAGAACGAACATGAATGCATTAATAATATCTGCCACTGAACTAAAACCAGTAGCGATCCCAAATTGGATCAAAGTGACCTAAAAGCCAGATAACCATTCCGTTTGTTTTCAACCTGTCTCACCAATGATGTAACCTGTTTAACTCCGCTCAGACAGTGGTATCACTTCAAGTTACCCGAATAACTTTCGATACCAAGTAAACTTGTGGTGAAATGTAACCGTGAAGTTTGTAAGCTGAAATTTCCTAGTCAATTTCCACCTAATCACACATCTTTAACATACATATTCAGCTCCTCACATACATTGACAAATATTGGCAATTATGACAACGATAACTCATCACTTTTGTTACTACCCGACTCAACTAGAATCACTGGATATGAATGAAACTGTACAGCTAAAACACATGAATTCGCCGAAAACAAGCTCTTCGTAGAACATATACTTGCTGAAGATGTTAGCCATTGATAGCTTAATGCATCATGGATTGACGGAATTTAAAATTTTATGGACCATCTGATCTCATCACAGTTGCTGAATAGTCAGTTTGTTGGCCTAATAACCTATAGACCATGAGTTAGATCCCTTAAGCGTTTCATGAGCGTGTACTGATGACGGATCATGAATAAGGAAGAAACGTTGGCTAATTAAGTACTGTCGGTGTTTATCCCCCCTCAAAATGATGTTATTTCTTGAGATAACTTGAAATTGGCCATTTTAAAAATATCGGTTCCACATAACATAAACTTAACATTTGTTGGTATTAGATGGTTGGAAGCAATCAGCAGGAAGCCTTGGACCTAGGTTTCGTGCTAGTTGGCACTCATCAGCAAGGCGTATCTGCAACCTTGAAGGAACTGATGTCCCTTCTGAGATTCGAACCCGCGTCACCCAGTGCTGCAGTCAGAGACGTTACCACTGAGCTATTCAGGCTCGCGACTGACCTCCTGTAGGACTGTATTGGATATTTTTGATTGAACACTAGTCAGTAACTAGTGTAATGTGTCTAGTCCTATCTTCGGTGAAGACTGAATTCTATCAGTCATGTTTGCAATGTGGCCACCATGCTAGGTGGCTCACCACATTACACTAGTTACTGACTAGTGTTCAATCAAAAAAACTTAACATTTATTCTTAGATACATTTCAATAAATCATTAAAGATGAGACAGAATTCACCATTTATTTCGTTTTACTTTCTACAGACAAGTAGGTAAAGGTGATCCTTCCGTCTTTATATCAATTTTATCAAAACGCAGTAAATATCATATACAAGCGATATACAATGCATACTATAAGGTAAGTCTGTTTGTTAAGTGTCACAGATGATACCTGCAGTTATTTTCTTTTTTATTCCTTTACGTTCCCAGTGAAACATAGGGCTTCAAGCTACAGGCTTGAAGTTTCGGTAGCAGCGGTGCCTTATTTATACGGAATGGGGTTGCTAGCCTCATTGTTCAACCTTCTCTCTTTACCAGTTTCATTACTGGACTAGTGAGATATAGGAGTGCGTCTGTGGCCGTGGATAGAACCCCGCACCAATTGCGTTGTTGGTGAGCATTCTACCACTCTGCCACTGACACTACATGCAGTTAAAGGTTTGCAAATTATTAAAAAACAGACTTTATTAATGTTTCATAATAGAATCATTTTACATGATTAAGTCATACAATGAAAGAGTATTGCTTAACTTTGAAATTTTGAGCACTTCCTAACGCTCAAACAACTTGCTGCTGACTAAGTTTCGAGGTCTTAATGCTAACCTAATTCCTCACTGTATATCACTGATGACTGTCTCTTATAGATAACTGATGACATAATACATAAATGTGCAGATATATCTGGGACTACCAGTAGTGAGTAACCAATTTAATCAAATTAAGTAGGAAGGACAGTCTCCACTGCATTGGAATTTTCGCCATCACTTTCAGCCGACTCCCTGACTGCCTACAAGCTTTCACTCCTTCTTCTCAAAACCTTCTCTACCTCATCACTGGATGCCGAAACCTTTCCTTTTCTATTGGGGCTGCACTTGAGGGCATGGTGTACGCTTTTACTCAAAGGTCTTCAATCCATCTCTATTTCTTTTTGCATACTGCCTGAAAAGTTATTGGATGCTTTGCTGTTAGCCTGCCTGTCTACCTGCCTGCCAGGATTGTTTGTTGTCTATCCTTTCTGACTAGGTGGCTGATTGTCTGATTTTGTACCAAACAAAGACAAAAAAATGTTGATGAGAGCTTGAAACAACCCGCTGAAAATGCTTTCTATGATGCCCCAACTACTTTGACCATACATAAGTAGGTCTTACAAGTTTGTTCAGCGCCCCCGAATTTCAATATTCAACAAAGATTACTTCAAAATCAAACAAAATCTCACGCAGACTAGTAGTAATTTAGCGCCGACGGCGTCTTACAGTAGCAGAAATTTCAGATTATCAATCTCTGTAGAATTACCGATCCATGATGATAATAATTTATCCCAGTCTTCAGTATACAAAAATATTAGTATTCAATAATGTTGACTAGTCAATACCATAAGTGGTTGAAGGATTTCATCATGAGTTGACATCATTTAGAAAACCACTGGAAAATCTGGAAGTACTGGACAGCTGATTCGTCCGCCTAGTTTGGTGCTCTTCATCGGTTCTAATGGAGAGTCGTGACCAGTAGTGTGCATCAGATTAAAGGTGGGGACAGTTACTCATCGAAGAAGACATTGCGAAGTCGTCGAGCTATGTCGTGAATTCATCAGTTGGCCATTGGATCGGATCCCACCGGCTTAATGGTCTACTAGCTAGCCCGCTTTGTAACCAGAAGGTCCTGGGTTGGAAACTTAGTGGTGGGTGCTTACCACTGAAGAGTCCCAAACTAGGACGGGGAAACAGCTGTCTAGTACTCCCTGCAGGTAATCTAATGGTTATCTAACTGATATCAGCCCATGATGAAATCCTCCAATTAATCAAACAATAATCCACACAAAACCAATGCTAAAAAATATTATAATTGTTTGATTTCTTCTAAATTTTTGTAGAAATACGGCCACCTTCTTGTGGATGCTATATCACGGAAATTTTCAAATCCTCTTCGTACGGCAATGAATACTGTCAGTAAGTGAAGAAAATTGCAGATGTTCATATATATGCATGTATTTTTGGATGGTTTGCTTAAAACGTATAAGAAATTAATAACTGCAGATTAAGTAGCAATATTTATTAGTCATGTATATTATTCATCCCTCGATTCCAAGTAGCAGACGAGGCGTTAGCCAGACATCTTTAATTAACTATGTTTCCCACTGTTATTTTAAGCTGGCTGCATGATCACCAATGAACGCCAATCCCCCAGAAAGGCAGAAGCCTTAAATATTATAAAATTATTAAAGGCTGGTTTGGAAGGAAACAGGACCAGACACAATTCCACTGGAAGCGCCGAAAGCGGATCTGAAGGTCTCGGCAGATAGCCTCACGCCAATACCTACTGACTGGGAGAAAGACTACCTTATCAAACTACCACAGAAAGATAGCTTAAGCATTGGTAAAAACCTGCATGGAATTATGCTCCGTTCCACTGTAAGCAAAATAGTAAGTTGCATCATTCTTCGGAAACTTAAAGACTCTTTACATACAGAACTCTTCCCGAAACAAGCTGAATTTAAGGAAAATGACATCTAACGCTTCTGGCTTAAGTTTCATCGATTTTGAATAGACCTTCAACAGCGTTTCGAACGCGAAGTTATTTTGGAAACTCTGCCACCACTACAGAGTGCCCAAAACTTTTATCAACTTCACTCAGCAACTACATTATAATGTTACTTCCGAAGTGTTTCACTTCGTCACTATCACCGAAGACCTTCCAGGTTGTGGCGGACAGCATCGGAATATAAAAATATACATATCAACAAGCGATGAAACTTCATCTACAGCACCTGATGACCTACGCTTTTGATCTTGATTGGTGTCGTGGAGTAATGACATTTCTCTCAAGGTTGTAGATTCAAATCACTGACAAATGAGGATTATTTACCTTGATTTTTCAATTTTGAATGCAAAGAGTACGCAGAAAAACATGACAGTTATATAATGGCAGAAACTATCCAGCTTCTTCGGAGAAAGATGGAAATAAATCACCGGTGTCAGGCTTTTCACCAGAGCCTTATGGATCCAAACCATTTCACCCCTTGAAGTTAGGATTTCAAAGTAATCTAGAAGGCTAAATTCAATCACATCATAAGCCTATATTTCCATCACTTAAACGTGTATAACTGGATTACTTCACGTACATGAATAAACTCAAAACCCGTACTGATTGACATTTTATGAAACACAATGATGATGAGATACAGCTACTAAAAGACCTTGTTTGTCCATTGTCAAAGATAGCACTTAAGGTAAAAATAGAGAAAACAGAGGTGATGAAGATTCCTGAACAAAAACAACAGACAACAATCATCATAAATGGAAGGAACCTAAAAGAAACAACCTCTTTTACCTACCTACCTGGGAAGCATCGTTTCAACCACAGGCGGACGGAACTGACGAGGATATCAAAGCAAGAATCGGAAAAGCAAGACAAGCTTTCACTACTCTCAAGTCTGTGTAGAGGTCTACAGCACTCAGCATCAAAAATAAGATCCGGATTTTCAACTACAATGTGAAGTCAGTCAGTGCTACTATACGGATCAGAGACTTGCACTGCGCGTCATGAAGAGCATCTCAAACAAGCTACAGACCTTCATTAACAGTTGTCTTCGCTCAATACTCAAGATCAGATGGTCAGAAGAGATCAGCAATAGGGACCTGTGGGAGCGAACCAACCCAGCAGGAACCGATTATGCAACAAATAGGCAGGAAGAAATGGAGATGGATTCGCTAGCCATACTGTGAGGAAACCATCAAGTGACATCACTAGACAAGCCATCGAGTGGAACCCAAAAGGGAAGCGGTGAGTTGGTCGTCAATGCAAGGGTGACTTGGAGGAGGTCATGTGAAGAAGAGATGAGAGTGTGTGGGCAGACTTGGAGCCAGGTGAAGACTCTAGCAGAGAACCGAACGCAGTGGAGACGCACGGTTGAAGCCCTATGTTCCTCTAGGAATTAAAGGAAACAGTAATAGTGTCCATTGTCAATCATACAGGATGATGTTGGAGGATTCCATGATGAACTTGTTTAATTGTATGCCAAATGTAATTAGCTCCACATGAGTAGTCAAACTGGCACATACTTACATACATACAGAGTAAGACGCGATATTAGTTGGGTAGTTTATCCATATTTCTCTAACCTAAAAATGGAACAGTTGTGAAGAGATTATGTTCATCTTCTGTACTAAACGCTCTTTTCATTGCATTCTTTAAACACTGTGTTATTACTATTTCACTGATTGTGTCGACGAGAAATTGCAGTTTAGAGAAGAAGGGTTTCTTTGGATCTGTCGCCATACTGACTTGCTTTGGAGGTGTAAATTAATATTTTTGTCAACGCATTTAACTGGATAATCATTTGTACTTTGCTTTGATGAATCTTACTCACTTCTAGATATCTAAATAAGACCTTCCGCTATATAAACATATATATGCATCAGCTTCCAGGTATTCATTGGGAGCCATTCCTTTTCTTGTCTCTTCCTTCTTGCTAAAACGGTTGTACGCGTTTCTTTGAACACCACTTTCAGAAAGTTAGTTCCAGTGTTATTCAACGTAGGTTTCCCCTCTGATACCAAGTAGTGAAGGCATCACTTGTAGTTTTGTCCTGCAGTTTCTAAATGCTGAACTTGAACTAATGACTTTATCCAGTCATTTTCAGGGATTTCAGCTACACCTTGAAGTTTCCTTGCATCAGATGATGATGTGAGACCACAAAATCTGCTCCCCTTCTCGACTTTGTGTCCAGCAGGCCATCTGCGTCTTCACTTCCTTGAGCAGCTATGAGATGACGTCAGGCGAAACCCACGCTGTTTTGTGTACATCCGCGTGCTTGTACACTTTGCCTCCGATCACAAAATCAATGAAAGCGCAGAGGTCTGCGAATAATTCTCCGTTCTCATTGATTTCTCCGACAGCATCTTGACCCATTATGAGTTCCCTTACTGTATTATCTGCTCTCATTTTGGCATTCATATCGCCCATGAGTAGTTTAATGTCACCATTTGGGATGTTGTCCATTGCTGTTTGTAGTTGTCTGTTAAACTCTTCCTTCTTCTCTTGTTCCGTGCTTTTTATAGCACTGTGCTTAGCATTTGATATCGGTGACCTTCCTTCCTTCATTTGGAGTTGAATCTTGCTGTCATGACCCTACGGAATAAAATTGTTTCCTACTACATTTGAGCTCTGGCCGCCACTGGTGACATCATGATGACCACTCGCTGCCTCAGTTTGCTCGTGCTGGTCATCTGGGTGATCGGAGTACATTACTGACTATCCAGCTGACAATTTGGATAATCCACACCCATTACATCTGCTCTCGCAGGATCCTATCACTTCTAGGCCATATCTCCGCATTTCTTTGGCTATCTGGTCAGCCTTCTCAGCCTCTTTCATTGTACGGGCATTCCACGTCCCAATTCTTATTCTCGCTTTCGTCGAGAGAAGACACATTGGCTGGCTGGTTGACTGGCTTCCCGAGGGCGGAGTTTCATCAGCCCGCTGTTTCATTTCGCTTCTCCGATTCGAGCGAAGAATAAGATTGTTGTTATTTCAATTTTTTGGATTTTTAATGTAATTTTTGTGTGTTTAAGTTCCTCTAACGGTTTCATAGGTTTAGTGGTTTCGGGTTGCTAGTCCTGTGCCCAAACCTCCCCCTTTACCCGGGGTTGGCAGCGGCTAGAAAACTAGCGAGCTATTTAATTAGGCGAGGTAATCTCAATTATGTAATAATAATAATTGACGATTTTCATACTCTTATGTTTTCTTTCATTACATAAAGTTATGGCGCTAATCGATCTGCGTTTACTACTCATCTGTCAACTTTACTGTAGTATGGAGGGCATAGGAATGAATGAGGATACAGTCATTCGAATTATATGTCTTCGATGTGAGGTAAGCATTGATGCATTGGATAAGGACATTCTGATATTATTATCGTTATTTTTCATTCACTTGCCTGTCTGGTGTGACATACCGCCTCAAGTTTGAGCTTACAGGTTTCAATAACTTCGGTACTGTTTTCTGGTTTCCCTCTTAGCCGAGACAAGCGCCGGTTGAGAGAGGTTTAAGTAACTGGACTAAGTGAGGTACCACCGATGCACGTCTTTATATTACACTTACAATTATGATTTTTAATATTTGAAGTGTTCGTATGATGGGCTGTGATATGATGCATAATACCTCGCTTAATTAGTTATAATATGGATATAAGTAGGCGACTCGACTAAGGACGAAATATAACTGTCCTACTTCAGATGTAGTCTGTTAAACTCGGCCTACGAGAAAATGAGAAGACACTAGCGACAACTAATAAGACTGGGCATCAACGATTTTGCGACTAACTTACGTTGAAATCTTCTGTCTCAGTAACCCATGATTCAAACTGATTTTATCCTGCAAAATATGGTTATATTTCACTAGACAGAAATAAGAGGATATAGCACACCAGCAGCAAAATAAATCCGTACAATAATAACTGACAGCTATCACCTAGTCACCCCTTGTACTGAGCAGTTTTAGAAACACACGAAAAGCAGCACATTCATTCTTCACCACCCTATATCTAAGTTTGCTGTTCTCTGAATACGTTTTCAGAACTTAAATGACATCAGTTCGTGGGGAAAGTCGCGTTAAAATTTTTCAGAATCCCTTATTATTATTCCCTTTGGTTCCGAGAGGAACGTAGGGGCTCTACAACACATCTCCCCTTTTGTTTTATTTCCTGCCATACTCTTCAGCTGGGTCTACGACTGCCTACACTCTCTCAAGTCTTTCGCACACGACCAGCCCCTCGTCACCTACGCAACGAATACCCATTCGTTGCTTCCCATTGGGATTACACTCGAGGGCCTGGAACGTAATCTCATTCGATGGTTTCCTTAATGTATGCCCGATTCATCTCCATTTTCTCCTACATATTTGCTGAGCAGTCAGCTCTTCTTTGGTTTGTCGCTAGCCTAATTTTCTTGCTGCTAATTGTTTCTGGCCAGCTGGCCATTCGGTCTTCAGTATGAAGCGAAGGCAGATGTTGATAAAAGTCTGCAGTAGGTTGTTGGAAATGCTTTTTATGATGCACTGGTCATGTTTCTGACCCATATAGTAGACCGACTTGACATTGGTGTTGAACAGAGTCCGAATCTTGTTCCTTATGCTGAGTGTGGATTTCCGAATTGGTTTCAGGTTGATGAAGACATATCTTGCCTTTCCGAATCTGACTTTGACATCTCTATCCATTCTGAAGTGAAGGAGGTAACCTCTGTTATATCTCTCCTGTTGATGGTGATTGATGATGGTTGTTGTTGTTGTTGCGGTTAGTTGGATATCTTTTCGGAATCCTCACAAAACCTTAAATATTGACATTCGCGTGTAGCCTGTTAGCGGCTATTTTGTGGATATTCCAGAGTTCTAATGAAGAATCGCGGCCCGTGACCAGGTCCACCATGACAAGGTTAGACTGATTCTCATCGATAGGATCAGTTAGCGATACTCCTGTGTCACAAGTTAGAACTCATGGACCATTGAATTCCAGTCCAGAGGATGCATGGTCAACAGGCTGGTCAAGTGAGCTGAAGGCTCAGTGTCCTATCTCCCCTGTATAGGTCGCATAGTCTTTAAGTGTTTAAGTATGAGGCGAAGAAAATGATGACAGTGGAAAGCTGACTAAACAAACAGGCTGTTATACAATTATACTTACACCAAAAGTCCCATGGGAATGTTTCTTCAACAAGTTACATTATTTCCAATAATCATTATAAGCCGAGGACCAATCACGTTCACCAAGTAGAATGTAAGAACAAGCAGTTATCGGTAGCAGTGAATCGTTGCAGCCCTCTATCACAAACACGCAAATATAAAAAGTCGTGAGGTGGTGAATTCTGACCCGAATGGTCCATGGTAACGCTCCCTCTATGCAAACAAAATGTTTAAAACGTTTTCCAGCTCAAGGGGGTCGTTGTTCACACCATTTAGGAGTTCTAAACTGTTATGAAATGGCTATCGAGTAACCTTTGGCTTTCGGTGGTTCTCTGAAGGATGGTTGTGCACTTATATAAGTCCATTATTGTTAACATACTGTGAGCGCAATATCGCTTGAAATTAAGTCACGCCTAGATAAAGACTATCCCGGTCCAGAACAAACAAGAAGCCGGTCACTGTCTCTACGGTACTTAATGGTTTCAAGAGTACAAAGCAAAACGCTTAACAGAAAGCAAGGTACCGCTATCAGAGTGGAATAACGTTAAAGCCGAAATTGCGAACTAACCGCAATCAGACACGACCGTTCAGGTAAGCAGTCAGTAGAAGAATGAACCCATGTAAGAGATAGACAGAGCATAGGCACAAAAAAGATAGAATTTAATTGGCTACTTAACCAGGTAGGCTGATACAGATGAAGATCAATAAATAAGATAAACTCGACAGAATAGTAAAAAGTAAGACATGGGTCAGCAAAATAACAGTTCACAAAAATACTCTGATTGGGTCATGAGTTCAACTGTCTGACTAAACGGATCGATGTAAAAAACACACGCACAGTTCATTAAACAATTTGGGATAGACACGTTAGGCATGGACAGTTGGGTTGCAACAACGCTAGGCTGATCCGGGACAGGTTGACTTGATTCAAGGATGAGAATTGAATTGATCTTACACATACAATATCCAGTTAGTGGTTCAGTGTTAGGATGCTCAGAAGGCACGTCGGAGGTCTAGCTTCCATTTACAGTAGACACTCTCTCAAACCCTGCTTGGTCTACTAGTATATAGGAGATCCTGTTGAGTCAGATGAATCAGCAGTACTGTGAGGAACTGGAAGTCACATGAAGTTTGAACCCATAACACTCAGCATTTTAGTAATGGTCCTATTACATGATGCATTTTCTGACTCAGTTTGATTAAACCTGAAGTGGTCAAGTTCGTTTAAGACTGTTCATTAAGTTGTCCGTATAACTAGGCTTCAACCTTACCTAGTTTAACAGTTAAATAGTTTACTAACCAGTCCGAAGCTGGAGAAAAGACTTAAGATTGACCTATTCACTACAGAAACTTCAAATCACAGTAAAAACTATAAAAAGCAAAATGATTCCTCTTTGAAATCGGAGAGGCCAGAAGATGCGGATCGACCTAAGCCTCCGTCGGAAGCAAAATTGATTGTAGGGACATGGAGTAACTGCAAAATGTTCGAAGATGAAAATCTTGAAGATACCCATTCCATAACAACAACAACAAGCACCAATCGTCATAAATGGGAGCAATTTGAAGCACGTTATCTCTTTCATTTATATAGGTAGTATCGTTTTAACTACTGGCGGCACGGATGAGGATGTCAAAGCCAGTCAGGAGCTAGAAAGCAAGACATAAATTCATCTAATAATAATAATAATAATTTCAAGTATTGCTTTGTAGGGATCTGATTGATTGGTTACAGAATTTCAACATGAGCTGTCATCAGTTAGAGAACCATTGGAAAACCAACTGGGAGTACTAGACAGCTGTTTCTTCATAGTTTGGGACTCTTCATTTATGACAATATGTTAACACAAAGTACAAGAATTTCCAACGTATTTAAATTTAAAAATATCTACTCTTCGTTCAGGAGCTTCATGTAAAATAGCATTAAGCAGTAAATCGTGTGACGCTGTTTTTCCATCTGAGGCAATATCCAGATCTCTATAATATCTTTTCCTCATTTCTGTCAAGCAGTTGTCTGCATTAAATCAAACTAAACCTGTGTGCAAGTTCATGTAGCCGTCCGAAAACACAGTTAGTTGATTAAAATAATATGAAATGTTAAGGAGCCTATGCATTATACAGGATGAAAATTTAGGTGGCCGAGTGATTTGAGCAGGCGAATTGATTTGAAATTCATGTGGAACCGTGGTATGCTCACCACAAGAAACAAATATTATTATTCTTTTACCTCCCGAGTGGAATATAAAGCTTCAAGCTAGAGGCTTGAAGCTTCATTAGCAGTGGTATTTAATTTTTCAGGATGGGGTGGCTAGCCTCATGCCCAACTTCTCCTCTTTACCAGTCTTATTACTGGCTTAGTGAGGTAAATGAGAGCGTCTGTGGCAGGATATCGAACCCTTGACCACCTGCGTGGTTGGCGAGCATCCTACCTCTGTGCCACCGACGCATATATATAAGAAACAGTACTCAGATTTAAACACTATTGTCTAGTCGGTCACTGCTTCTATACGGTCGATAGACATGGTTCACACAACGTCAGAGGCATTTCCAACAGGCTTGAGAATTTTATCAACAGCTACCTTCTGTCGATGTCGAAGATCAGACGGCAAACCATAAAGAATTAGCAACAAGGAACTCTAACAACAAACCAATGAAGAAACTACTGCCCAATAAATATGGCTAAGAAAACCGAGATGGATCGAACACCAAGTTCTAAGTTGGCCATACGAATGCGAAACGGTGACGAGGAGGAGGAGATAATAGTCAATGGACAATCCAGTAACCAGCTGTAGAGGACTACTGTGCACAAGATGAAGTGGAGATGTGCTTTTGAAGACCTATTTTCCACTTGGTTGCCAGAGTAATAATTATAAAACAATGCAAAAACTAGTCTTCAGTGAGAATTACATTGATTGCCGATGTCCTTGAAAATCTCACGCAGTTATCAACTATCTTATAAAATTCATTAGAAAGATCAAAAACTGTTAAACGCAGAATAAAAACAATGGTAAAACTAATAATGGTAACATGAATAAGAAAGAATATAAGTCATCTACTGTGATACCATATTAGGAGGGGACATCTGAGGACCTACGTAGGATTCTCAATAAAACAGGAATTAGGGTGGCATTTTAACCAACAAACTCATCCAGGTACGACAAGCTTTGTAGGTTAAAAGACCCTGTAAGTTGACTCATTTAGACAAAATGATATAATTTACAAAATACCTTGCAATGACTATGAGTTAGGTCAACTACATAGGTCAAACCAGTAGATCAGGAGTAGTGAGATCATCATAACATAAGAATTTAGCTAAGGTTAGAATGATTGACTCCACGAAGATAAGTAATTTAGAAAAGAACTCAGTAATCGCACTGCATGCATTGACACACAACCACACAATAGGGTGGTACAGAGCACAAATTCTAAAGAGTTATATAGGTAAGTGGAGAGAGGGGTTGATTACTGAATCTTTGTTCACAGAATCTAAACCAATCACGTGTAATAGGAGAATGACTCACCACTCATACCGGAAATATGAAAACTATTACCACCAATCAAATCAAGAGATGAGAAATAGTGAAAGTTGGAAAGTTTGATTGGATGGAGGATTCAATCATGAGCTGACATCAGTTAGACAACCACTAGAAAACCTGAGAGTAATGGACAGCCGTTTCGTCCTAGTTTGGGACTCTTCATCAGTACGCACCCAACGGGATTTGAACCCGGGACCTTCTGGCTGAAGACAAGGCAGTAACTCATCGCAGAAGATATTGCGAAATGGTCACAATAAATTGTGAATTGGCAGAAGTTAGAATTCACAGAACATTGTATCGGGTCCCTGTGACTCAACGGTCCACGAGCTCGCCTTGTAACCAGAAGGTCCTGGGTTCGAATCCCGGTGGGTGCGCAGTGCTGAAGAGTTCCAAACTAGGACGAAACAGCTGGCTGTCAACTACTCCCTGGTGAATTTCCAATGGCTATCTATCAAATCAAACTAAATCCCTACGAAACCAATACTTGAAGGTTGGAAAGTTTTCTGAATGCCTTGATATGGTTATGAGCAATGAACTGTACTCAAAACGTGGTAATCAGTAAATATTACTGTATAGCGCACTGTGCGACTTTATCAAAAATAAATTTTATCCATAATGGAACCCTACAAAGAAGTGGTTGGTTTTCTTGATAAGTTAATGTAAGCAAAACTATAAAATCCATGACAATCAGACCTTACAAATACCTAGACATAGTACACTTTCTAATTATGATAATCTATATATCTGTATATATAATTTCTGTTTTATATATTTCACTCTGCATACTTGTATGGTGCCAAAATGACGTTTTTCACTGCTCCCCTCCCCGAAAATAATGTATTTCTCTGTCTCTCTAGTTATAACACTTTAATTTCTTCAAATAATATACATATTTACATATACACAACATAACTTTATCACCAAAGTTGGCAATAACACTAGCAAATGAATTTAGCCAAAACATGACGTTAGTAATAATAATAATAATAATAATAATAGTAATAATAATAATAATGTCGAATAGAACTATAATAATTCATTGAAAAAGATTTCAATTACGTGCCTCTGTATGTGTTTTTTGTTTCTCCGTGATCATATGCTTATCAAAACAATTCCAAAGTGTATCATATGAGTGTGTCATATATCTGTTAATATATAGATAATGACAGAATAAAGCATTTTTGGCAATAGATTAATTATCACTTATAACTGTAGCAGATAATTCAATATAATTATATTATTACTATTATCAATCCATTGGGTTTTAAGTGAAGCATACAGCTTCAGCAGTACGTCTCCACTCTGTTCTATTTCCTGCTCTCCTCTTCAGCTGGCTGGCTCCACGATTGCCCAGAATCTCTCATCTCCGCTTCCTCCTCCTCCACGTCGTCATACGATCTTCTCCATGTCATCCTCGAACCGACGACCCACTCATCGCTTCCTATCCAACTTCCATTCGTGTAATGGTCTGGTTAACGCAAAATTTCATTCTACGGCCTTCTCAGCGTATGCCCAATCGATCCATTTCCATTTTGTCCTACATATTTATTGAGCGATTGGCTCTTCGTCGGTTTGTCACCAGCCAGAGTTTCTTGTTTCTGATTCTTTCTGGTTGGCCGGTGGTCATTCCATCTTGAGTATGGAGCCAGCCAGCCAGCCAAGTGGGTAGCAGTTGATACAATTCCTAAGTATCCTGTTGGAAATCTTTTTTTGTAACACTCAGTGCAACCGACTGACTTCAAATTTGTGTTAAAAATTCCAATGTTCTTCTTTTTTCTGAGGTGGAGTGTAGAAGATTTCCAAATTGGTTTCAGGTTGATGAAGGCGTATCTTGCCTTTCATATTCAAGGAGCATAGTTAAATACCCAAAAATGAACTGTTGCCTTCATTGGAAAACAATTAACACTCGTTTAGCGAATAATTGAGAAATCAGGAGCACTACTTGATAGGTGTTTTGTCAAAATAAAATCTTATCTATAATCAATCCAGGAGCTTAAGGTTTTGTGTAGGTGGAATTGAATAACCCGTAAATTCTTTTTTTGTCAATTTGTGATCTGCATGCTACTACAACAAATCAATACCGTGACGCAGCCCACGGCTAATTACAACTTCAAGATATCCATCTAAGTCTCACATTCAATACTTCACGAAGATCACAAAAATGAATTGCTGAAGAATCGCTGTGCAGCATTACTCCTTCGTTTTCAGTGATTCTCTCCTACTGATATCAGTTGGTTTATGACGAAATCTACGTACATATCGCCACAGACTGACATCAGTTAGAGACATAAAGAGAACCATTGGGAAATACAGAGTACTGGAGAGCTGTTTTACACTAGTAATGGGATTAACTAGTTATCTCTTCTCACAAAAATAACATGAAGTAAGACCAGGATATTCAGGTTACCGGTTATTCCCTAGGAAACAGCGAATATGAATACGAAGATATCGAAGACAGGATCGGAAAGGCGAGCTGCTCCCTTCTGTACTCCAGCACAGCATAAAGGAAACGATTCGGATTTCCAATGCATATGTGAAGTCAATCAGTCAGTTCTTCTATACGGGTTGGAAAGTTGCACTGCGTGTCACGAAAACCATTTCCAACCGGCTACTTAAAACTTGTATCAACAGCTGCCTCCATACTGAAGATCAAATGGCCAGCTGGTCAGTCAGAAAGAATCAGAAACAAGAAACTCTGGCTAGGAACAAACCTACGAATAACCGATCGCTCAACATCGCACTCAATGCAGGCCATCACTCCAGTGGAATCCCATTGGTAAGCCACGAGTGGGTCGTCAATGTGAGGTTAACATGGATGAGGTTGTGTGGTGAGGAGGAGGAGGAGATGAGAGATTATGGGCAGTCGCGTGGCCAGCCAGCTGAAGAGGACAGCACCAAACAGAACGAAGTGGAGATGTGTTGTTGACGCCCTATGTTCCACTCGGAACCCATAGATTCCTCTCATTTAAAAGGTATGTCAGTGATCTCAGGGGAAATAATACCCTATCAGAGTCACGGATTCTCGTCACTGAGTGCTAAAGTTTGAGATGTCATTAAAGAGCTAGTCTCCACACAATTGACTACAATAGTGATGTTGAATGGAAAAATAACCGTCATGTCAATTCGTAGTGTAATCAGCAATCTAGAAGATTCATTACTTCAGTAAGCTTCCGAAATTATTTTGTTAGATGGTTGAAAGGCACAAAGTTCTACAGATAAAGTATAATGTCATATTAGAAATTTGAGTGACAAACCCAAAAGAGGAAGAAGTTCAAAATGCGCACCATTCAATTCTCAATACACCTACTCGGTAGAACTTGAATCTTAATTAATTAAAACAAAAAAACTAAAAGTAATGTCTATTAAATGTTGACCTATTTTATTTCTTTTCTTCCATTTTTCTCTTCTTCTTCTTTTTCTTCTTTAGATTGATTTACAAAATATAAAAGAATTATATGAAAAATTCTTTTATAAACCATTAACTCAGAGTATAGCTTCTGAAACACAAGGCGGTTTAAAGAAATTATTATTAATTCTTCTGAATTGTGAATAGAAACGAAAATTGAAGAAGCATGAAAACAGCAGACAAGAGAATGAAGGAGAAGAAGACGAACACAACAGCAATAAAATCAATAAAAGTGACCAACTTTCTTATCTTTTCAAACTATTTGTTTCTTTCGATAAAGCATAAAATATACTAGAGTTAAATATAGTTATAATTAAGCTTCATGCTCACTTGTTTTCAGATTCAAAGATTCATGAGAATTTTAGATGAGTTTTAGTAGATAGAAGTTCGTCACGAATCAAAGTCATTTAGAGAGAGTACATTGCAAACCAAGGATTACTCGACGGCTCTTTCGCCCTACTTTGGAACTCTTCATCAGTGTGCAAGACACCACTGCCAGCAGTGGAAAGCGAGACAATTCAAACTATAAGATTAAACACGTTGACTATTCAACCAAGCCAGCTGAAATTTGACGACCCTTGAATTCTGAGTTTGTCAATTCGTCACACAGCGCTGCCCTTGATAACGCGTTCGATGAACATTCATTCTGCCATGACATGGTGGACCCCACTGGTCACGACTTTCTACTGCAGCTTCAGAAAATCGATTCAGTAGCCATCAGTGATGAAACGATTGGTAATGAGATTACAGGATGATTTGTGGGGACTCTCAATTAATTCCAACTGTTGGATTTTCAACATGAACCACTGAAATGCAATCCGGCTCGCTGAATGGTCAAGGAGATTGGTCCTGTAGCCGGAAGGTCCTGGGTTTGATTCATGGTGGGGGCATGGGTGTGATTATTGATGAGGAGTCCCGAAATATGACGAAACGGCTGTCCAATGCCTCCAGGTTTTAGTCAATTTTACTTTGCTTAGGTAGAACTAGGATGATGAAACTAATTTAACAACTCTTATTGTAACACTAAGGAATACAATATTCAGCGAAGAGACTCTTTTCAAAAAATTTTCATCAACCTATGCAATCATATATATGTATATATATATAAACTTGTGATTTTTAAGAAACCATCTCCTGTGAGGAAATCTAAACTAAAGTTGTGAATATTTTTGATAATAATGTGAAATTCAATAAAATGTTTGTGATTTTAGCCATAGTTTAAACAGCGTCCCACTTGAAACTTGGGCTACCAAAAACCTGTCTCATGATACTACATATAGTCCGTCTAGTTTACTTTTGTTTTAATCTATTAAAATATGACATTCAATGGTGCTTTCTATACCCGCAAGTATTTAAAAATGTCTGTAACCTGCTTATTCTCAAGTTTCTAACACACCTGAGAAAAAACAAAATCGTAGGTGGTAACCTATCTGAATAAATGAGATAATTTCTCCCGGGATTTTTAGTACAAACTACCACTGCCGGAGAATCAAAATTAACTACCTGCAGTCTTTAATTGTTCACTTATGTCCTTGGGTCTAAAGCTGTAGTCCTGCCCCATATTTAATTGGTCTCTGACTAACAGTCATTGATTTCTTGAAGGAGACAAAGGTGAAATATGATAAGCAGTTGATTGGCGTTCCAGATCAGAAAGCATTGTGTCAACCAATCTACTGTGAATTACATTTTTACTTGTTGGACAAAGAGAAATTGTTTTGCAACAAATCCGGCTGAAAGTTCTATCCACTGTGTAAACAGTGTTCCCAATAAACTGATAAAATAAATCACCTCATATATGAAATAAAGAACAACATATGTAATCGAGTGATGTGAATCTTTAATATGTAGAATAGTCCATAGAATTTATAGATCTTGGGAAGAAGTTCAGATTGAATAGGACAAATAGAGAAATAAAAACACCACGTAACAAAGGCATGACAGCACATTCCAGAATGGGTATACGAAGGAGAACACTTGGTCGACTTCAGTGAATGAATCAACGCTGATCGTGATTTTAAGACCAGTTATCCAATTATCTGGATTTTGCAGATGATTTGTGTTTAATGTCACACACAACAAAGTGAATGAATGGGCGGCGAAGACAGGATGCAGTTAAACACAGAGAAGACGGAGGTGATGAGAATAACCAACTAACAGCAACAGCAACCAGCACCAGTCACCAACAACAGGAGAGATTTAACAGAGGTTTCCTCCTTCACTTATCCGACCAGGAACTGTCGTTTCAACTGCAGGCACATGGCAAGGATAAATATCTCAAAGCTGGCCAGCCAGAATCGGAAGGGCAAGATACGCCTGCATCAGCCTGAAATTAGTTTGCAAATCTTCTGCACTCAACATTAGGAACAGGATTCTGATTTTCAACACTAATGTCAAGTCGGTCCTTCTTTACGGGTAAGAAACTTGCAGTGCATGTCACGAAAAGGATTGTCAGTAGCCTACTGCAGACGTTTATCAACAGCTGCCACCTTCACTTATAGACTCCACAGTGAAGATCAAATAGCCAGTCGGAAAGAATTAACAATTAGAAACTCTGCAGTGGAAAAAATCAACAGGCGAGAGCGGATTGCTCAACAAATGTGTTGGAGAAAATTCAGATGGATTGATTGAGCATATGATGATGAGAACGTCGAATGACATCACGCGCAATATAGGCCATCACTCGAGTGGAATTTAAATGACAAACGACGAGTGAGTCATCACTCCTAGGATGACATGAAGGAGAGCGTGTGGGTAAGAGAAAAGAGAGTATGGGAAATCGTAGACCCAGGTGAAGAGTACAACATATAATAGCAGAATGTGGGGATGTGTTGTTGAAGCCCTCTGTTCCACTCGGAACGCAAAGGAACAATAATAATAATCCAATTTATCTTTACCTGTCGAGTTTACATGACTTCAGGATTTCAAAGACAGTGGGGGCCCTGACTATTCATGAATCCAAAACAAATGTTTTAACTCAAAAGAATTATGTACATAGTCCATATCTCCGTCTTGATCTTAGAACTGAAGGGGGGATGAAGTAATATTTACTGATTTATTTACCATTCCCCCCGTCTATCTAATCTGTGTACCTTTGTCTTTATATAAGAACAGAATTTGAACACTGTAGTACAGGAATTCGTCTGAACACTAGGTTGGTGTGAGGAGTCTACTCCTTTGTCTTTCTGCAGACTATATTATACAAGCCAAGCGTGAAAATAGCTCAATAGTAACGTCTCTGACTGTTGTATTTTATGACACGAATTCCAGTGTCAGTGGAGACATGAGTTCCTTCAAGACTGCGAATACGTTTTGCTTACTGGCGACTGCCAACAAGCATTAAACCTATATCAGGTAAGGCTTCCTGCCGACTACCTCCAACGGTCTAACCGGTTTGATAGAGTATTTTTAATTTGATATTCACTTTGAACAATTTCCAGAATTATTTGACTGATCCCGGTTACTTGTTTAAAGTCGGTGTTTCTTTTGCAATGTTAAAATTTATTCTGGGGAACTTCTCATTATGTTACGTAATAATTTTATTTCTCAACTTAATCTGTTAGCTTTATACCTCTTTCCAAGATTTACACATTCATTTAACTATTTGCGTACTATATAAATTGTTTTATCGCCTGATACTGAACTAAGATCATAATCACAAACAATTCATCTCACTTTATATTGCCATTATTAAAGGTATTTCCACCTTTTATTGAAGTTTCCTCATAGAATATGGTATCTTAGAAATCATGTTTATTCATACGATTGTACAAGTGGTTCCGTCACAGGATATTCGTCAATAAATTGGGTGTTCTGGCTTGAATTCCTAGTCAATACATGCCTCAACATCGCTTATTTTAATGACACATTAAATAAGTTTATCTGATATAAGAGATAGGGATACAGTATACTGATGACTAAATGACCTCTGGAGACCAATTGATTGTTCGTGATCATGTCTGATAACAAGTCTCTAGAAGATCTGGATTTCGTGCATGGATGATTTGTGCCTAATTTCAGAACAAATTCTAACACTTATAGGCTAAAACCGACAAAAACTGGAAAAAGAAACAGCTAAGATAGGACCTCAGATGGACACAGATAAGACAGAAGTGATGAAGATTGCCAAATAACAATGACAGTAACCAGCATCAATCACCATCAAAGGCAGAAATTCGAAATAGGCCACTTCCTTACTAGGAAGTATCATTTCATCTACAGACGAATCCGCTGATGACAATATCAAAAGCAGGATTTTCAATACAAATTTTGAATCAGTTCTTCTACATGGGTTGTAAGCGCAATATCGCTTGAAATTAAGTCACGCGTAAATAAAGGCTATCCCGCTCCAGAACAAACAAGAAGCCGGTCACTGTTTTTCCGGTACTATTAATAAGCAATAATTATAAATACAACAAACCTTAACGGTTTGAAGAGTACAAAGAACGACGCTTGACAGAAAGCAAGGTACCGCTATCAGAGTGGAATAACGTTAAAGCCAAAATTGCGAACTAGCCGGAATCAGACATGACCGTTCAGGTTAGCAGTCAGTGGAAGAATGAACCCAAGTAAGAGATAGACAGAGCATAGGCACAAAAAAGATAGAATTTAATTGGCTACTTAACCAGGTAGGCTGATACAGATGAAGATCAATAAATAAGATAAACTCAACAGAATAATACAAAGTAGGACATGGGTCAGCAAAATAACAGTTCACAAAAATACTCTGATTGGGTCATGAGTTCAACTGTCTGACTAAACGGATCGATGTAAAAAAAACAGACACAGCTCATTAAACAAGGGGGGTTAGACTTGTTAGGCATGGATAATTGGGTTGCAACAACGCTAGGCTGATCCGGGACAGGCTGACTTCATTCAAGGATGGGAAATGAATTGATCTTACATGGGTCATGAACTTTACCATAACATCTCGGAAAGCATTACCAACAAGCTGCAGACTTTTATCAACAGCTATCACCTTCGGTGTCTCCATACTGAAGATCAAACTGCCAACTGGCCAGAAAGAATTAGCAACAAGAAACTACGGGGACAAACCAACCAAGAACCTATTGCTTAGCAAATTTGCAGAAGAAAATGTAAATGGACTGATCATACCCTGAGGAGGCTGTCGAGCGACATCGCGCACCAGG